CAAAACCGCGAGGAAGGTGGCCCTCATCTGGGACAACTGCCCCGGCCACAAGATCATCAACAACGACCAGCAGATGGTCATCATCTTCTTGCCGCCCCTCGTCACGTCCGGTTTTCAGCCGATGGACATGGGGGCCCAGTTCACCCTCAAGTGCCAGCCAGTACAAGACCGAGATANGCTAGCCTGACGTTAGTTTACGCATTGATACTGATTTTTGTAAGAGAATCGTGGTGGTGGACACGTTTGTCGATGGCTCCCATTCAAAATAGAAAAACCTGCCGTTACCGGCCATCCATGCATGAAAAAAACAACATGCTCCCTCCTTCCCTCCTTGTACCCCGGCGACCCTGCGCTCTTCTTTTTCAGGGGATGTCGGGGGCTGAGCGATGCAGGCCAGGCGACAATGCTGGACGTTGCTGAGATCTTTACCCAGAAGTTGGAAAGTTTCTCGGACCAGACTTTTGTCAGGTGCTGGCTCAAGGCCACCATCCTTCCCGAGGAACACGAGAACGTCCTCAAGAGGAAGGACACGCGGCTCGCTGGAAAGGACAACGGGAAGGGGGGGGAGGTGGGGGACTGACAAGGGGGGGGACACGGGCGAAAGGGGCTCATCGACGGCCTTTGCGACTTGGTCGCGAAGCTGTCGATGCCAGACAGCGTCGACGTCACCGACGCCAGAAAAATTCCAGGGGTGTTGACGGACAATTTGTTTGTCGAGAAGAACTCGGGCCTCACTGATGTAGAAGTGCGAAAGGCAATTAAGACGTGGCTTTCCGTAGAGGATGACCCCAGCGTGTTGGAAGACGAGGTAGCTCTGGAACTGGAGATTGTGGAGCAGAACATGGCAAACTTGGAGATTGATGCCTCTTCTGACGACGAAGATGGCGGGGATAGGCCAGCCTCGTGTATTACATCTTCGATGACAGAGGCGCAGGTCCGCGCTAGCTTAGAGAGTGTTCGCTCCTACTTGTACGCCAATGGAAAGGATGGCGAATGCCGCGAAACCCAGCACCTTCTTTCGAAAACGGTGCATTCGTTCACGCATGAAACACAAGTCAAGCGCAGGTCCAAGGACGGGGGGGAGCTGCAGGCAACTCTTCGCGATATGTGGAGGAAGTCGTAGCATTGAGTGTTTGCGGTTTGTCGGCCATACGCCGTATTGTGTGCTGTGTCTGAATGGCGCTCCAGTAGAGAGTAACGCAGGAGAGTTCTGCGTGCGCTCCCTCAGGGGTAAACAAGAGTCACCAGGTGAATTTGAAGTGTCCATCAGGTATTTTCCGTGCTGTATGGTGGTGTTCAGCAATAAACAATTATTTTCTCGCCGACTCCCAGCCTCTTTTTTTATTCCAACAATGCCCTGCCCAGGGCGCACCTTTTGACGTATGTACCGCCACCATTGACCCCGGGGATGGTGCGTTCTGATCCCTTGAAGTTTAAGGAAACTTCCCCGCGTTAAGGAAACATTTGCCGAAGCAAAACCATATGTTTCCTTAAAGCGGGGTCGACTGTATTAGCATCGACCGCGCTGACCGGCTGACCAATGAAAAGACGCCAGTCTCAGTGCGGTTGAAAACACAAAACACTTTTGTCTGACATGAACTGGGACCCCGTGAGGGGGCAGCATGAGGGAGGCTAAACTATCCTTCGGATCAAGGACAGAAACAGCAGCGACAGAAGAAAACTGCACGTGTCTACCAAGGCTACGTGTGTGTTTTTATGATTAGCATCGACCGCGCTAACCGGCTGGCCAACGGAAAGACGTCAGTCTCAGTTCGGTTGAAAACACAAAACACTTTTATCTGCCATGAACTGGGACCCCGTGAGGGGGCAGCATGGGGGAGGTGTGACTGTGTGTGTGCTTTTATTGTTAGCATCGACCGCGCTAACCGGCTGACCAATGAAAAGACGTCAGTCTCAGTTCGGTTGAAAACACAAAACACTTTTATCTGCCATGAACTGGGACCCCGTGAGGGGGCAGCATGGGGGAGGTGTGACTGTGTGTGTGCTTTTATTGTTAGCATCGACCGCGCTAACCGGCTGACCAATGAAAAGACGTCAGTCT